AGATCTGTTCACTGAATAAAATTTTTCGAAAGTTAGGGTTTCAAAAAAATATGTACCACAAAGATCGACGAACAATAGTGGCTCTGATACCACTTGTTGGTCCCAAAGTTCACAAAGAACACAAAAACAGAATAATAGCGCGAGAAAATAAAGAATCAACACAAAGATTTTTCACCCAAAAAGGGTCCGGATGTTCAGCCAAAGGCCTACTCACCCGTTGAGCATCCACACAAAGGGATATTGCTCTAGTTCCACTAAGATCACCAAGAACAGTTACAATGTATGAAGAAATCAGAGATTTCTTCAAGTTTCTCTCGCCTCACGAACCACACAGAAATTATACAGAATCTCATAGAATCTACATCAATCGTAGTTACTGCCTTATCACTAAGAACATACACAGAAAATCACTCAGACTTTCAAACGACAGAGAGAAGAGAGGAGAAAACCCTAATCACACGGAGAGAAATCTCATCCAAAGTTATCCAACCGTCTCACCAAATGAAGCTTCGAGAGACACTAAGTAGAAGGCCAAGGGATTCTATCAACCGTGAGGATCAGGCCACAAGTTAGGGCCAGATAGCAGAGCCCAATAAGAATCAATACTGGGCCGACATTATTTAGCAGCACAGGCCCACAGATAACCAAACAGGGCCAAGAATAATGAGGCAGTCAATAACATAACAATAATTTTAGGAGGAAAAAGAGGAATCATCTATTTCTATGATTCTAACAAGTAGAAAAATGTTTGAAGTGCCTTTTTTTTGCTTTTACCCTAGTGTAGGGTAAAGGAAAGGTCGAAAAATAAATAGAAATTAATTGAAATTCTAACATATTGATAGAAATGATAGCATTTTGGTAGATGAGTTGAAATAATTCAAATATAAACAATTTTAAAATGATTGAAATAATTACATGGAATGCATATAAAAATAGTCTTAAGTTAATAAATAAAACATAGTCTAGTTGTTAGTCTATTGAATAATAATTAAAATATCATCTTTCCTAATTTTCAATTTTTTAAAATGAAAATAATTATTTATAATAACATTAAAATGTTAAATACTATGTTATAAAAATAAAATATAAATTAAACATATCTGTCTGAAAATTGTTTTTGATTATTTTATTAAAATTATATGTGAAAAACATTTACTTAATTAAAGACTTTTAAATTTTTATTTATAAATATATCAAATGCTATTTGTTTATTTTAGTAAATAATTAAAATTAAAATATATAAAACTTGATTGAAAACCCAACATTTCACTGTTTTTTTTCCATCATACATACTCGAATTTATTCATTAGCAACGACATTAAAACATCATACATTTTTCAATAAAATAATTTTATACATGAATATATAATTTTTTCCTATTTCTTAACTTTAAAAAAAATTACCTTTCACAAAATATAATCTTAAAAAAAATGAAAAAAAAAAAATCGAAAAGCCCTACGAATATTTACAATATAAACAAGAACTCTATCCGACCAAAGAACATTTTGAAAATGTGAAATGGGTAATTTAGCTAAGACTCAAATGGCTATACTTTTGAAGCCAAGTAGCTCTCTCAAACGAATGACCTCAGGTTTTTTCTCTTTCTCGGCTTCTATATGGGGTAACTTCTAAGAAAATGTGGTGTCAATACAAAGAAAAAACATGTCGCTATAAAATGAAATTGAGCCAATACACAAGGACTTGATGTGCAAATGGGCAATGGTTGGTGCATTTAGTCCCTCAACGTTGTCCCTCATGTGTAATTGGTCCCTAATGTTTCATTTTTGGTGATGACTGATGAGATCCCATACCTATCACTTCCTTGCATAATCAATCCACGATTCTGATATTTGCAACATTCCCTTGTTTGCTTGACGACGCCATTCATTTGTTTGGTTCCTTCACCCTAGCCTTCTTCGATCTTCCTAGCATTTTTTTAAGGTGCTAGAGCTAAAGGATGTTACTCGAGATTTGGCAAGAGCTCTTGACATATAAGTGGAGCAATGACATGATATGTCATTGTATGTTCCGAGATAGGCTTCTTTATTGCAGTAGTGCACATAATTTAGCAAGTTTTTGCTAGTTAATTAAAGAGAGGACATCGCAAGGGCACGAGAAACTCGATAGTTGCCAACCTTTAAACGAACAACATGTATGTGCTCGAATATCCACCACATTTACCAAAATAGTAGCAAAATCGTTTACATGATACTTGTTCTGAATTGGATGGAATCCATACAGAAGGATTGATTGTGCAGGAAAGTGATAGGTTAGGGACTTCAGCACCATAAATAAAATGCTAGAGGACCATTTGCACAGGAAGAGCAACATTGAGGACTAAATGCGTCAATTACCCGCAATAGTGACGAGAGAGAGAGAGAGAGAGAGATGGAATATCCCACAGAAGTATTCGTATCCGTTAAAACTTGGAACTCTTAACAACAATGCTGCGCTACCAAAAAAGTATCAGATTTTTATTGTCCATCGATTATTATCTCTGATTGAAGGTTAGTTCTTTTAACTTAATTATACTGTAGTCCTTTGTGCTTGAAGGATATGATTATCTCAGCATCTTTACTCATTTGCAATTTGCTTTTTTTTTTTTTTTNTTTTTTTTTTTTTTTTCATTTTCAAAAGTTGTTGGAATTTTATTTGGGAAGTTTCTAATACAGTATAGTTTTAGGATTTTCATTCCTAGGGATTGATTATCATTGGGTTGCTTATTATTGACCTAAATTAAAACTCCATTGACATATGATTGAGTGAATTATTCGAATATATATGATTGTTCTGTACTATTATTGGCATATGATTCTGGTTTTTTTATGCATGAGCATGAGGATACATTCTTGAGAAGAAAATCAGATTCCTAATGTAGGAGATCACACAAGAAATACCTCTGTTTTCCTTGAAATAATTATTAGTTCTCAAGTCATTTGTTAAGTTTTAGTAATGGATGTTAATTTGTTTGATGCTAGCCCAAAATCTTCAGCAAGGTGCATCCCTATTGTAATTGACTGCAGGGGCCAGGCCTTATTTATTTTTGCATTGCTTTTCTGAAATATCAGAAAAGTTAGACAAATTATATCAAGAAACGTGATTTTATTTCATGTCATCCTTGTTATCTAAACCAATCAACCCCCTTAATGATGTTAGTTTTTTTCAATACCGTATTAGTTTTTGGAGAAGTGGTTAATTTGCAAATAGAACAGGATAATAATTTAGTGGAATTCAAACAATTGTAATGAATCATCTATTTGCATGATGATGTTTATCAACATAAAAATTAACAAATGGCTGGTAGAATATGAGAAATGTAGAGAAACTGTACATCTCTTTGTTAACAAACCTAAACCATTATACGGCATCCATTTCGGTTGCAACTTCTTTATAGGACATTGTATTCTCTGAGGTTTTTCAGAAAGGTTTCTCCAATTTTAGAGGAGTCTTTGACAAAAATGGCCGGGTATCCAATTGGAGCTTCCACCCAAGCCTCGGAACCTTGTTTGGAATATAGTTTTCCTGTCCAAACATGCTTCCATGAACAGTTTTCTCCTTCTGGAAAATAGGCCCTAACCATTTCCTTGCCTTTATCTAGAACAGGCACTACTAGGATCTCTGTGCCTACTAGAAATTGCTGATATGTTAATGTATGCACGTATTCATCTTCTGGATAGTGGAGGAATAGATGGCGACAAACAGGTAGGCCCTTTTCAGAGGCTTCCTGTATAATAAACATTAATGGAGATAGTTAGATTTCTGTTCCAATTGCGTCGAGTTTGTACCATCAACACTGAAATTACCTTAACTAGTTGGATCCTGTAAAACTTCCAAGCTTTGTATATCTTGGCAAAGCGTGCGAAATGCGATAAAGTACTGTGGTTGGAGTAGAACTGGCTGTTGCTAGTTGGTTTATTTCCCTGATTGAAATGTCAGTAATTAGCAAACAATTGTGAAATCTCGTGGCACTTAAAAGAGAAGAATAATAAAATTGAAAAAGAAGAGGTACGACTATGTACAATGATGATAAGATGCCAATTTATTTGTTAATTACAATTAGATTTGAAGTTGAATTCCCACTTTACCATTTGAGCAGCAGCATATACAATATGCACTGAAACAAGCTCCTTGCATGATGATATTAGAATGTGTGTAAATGTTTATACATTTTACAGGGCAATCTCTCGACTTACTTCATGTGTCCGGAAGACAACGGAGAATGCATTCAGCTCCATCCAGCGCAAGAGTAGTTCTTCGCTCCTTTGATACTTAAAAAATGGTAAGTTCACTGAACAGTAGCCTCCAATATCACTATGATTCAAAGCATACCCTGAAAGTCCACTGCTGAGCAATCCTACCACTGCACTCTTTATCCCATCATTAGCCTGCCAACTTACCATTTGATCACCTTCCCAAAATAGGGTCGCCCATTTTGGACTATTCCTGAAACCAGCCCTCATGAAGAAAACCAGGGCTGGGTCTCCCATTTTGGACTATTCCTGAAACCAGCCCTCATGAAGAAAACCATGGCCTCTTCTTGATCTTCCTTCTCCTTTCCCACGAGACTACTTTTCCATTCTTCTACAAATTCCCTGTTTATTTTTGCCCATAGCTCTGGGTATCTATTATGGGCCGTAATTGGATCTTCACCTATGAAATTGTAAATCAACTTGATTACACAATGGATTTGAATGTTTGGACTAGAGGTTCGGTTATAAGTATGTCATAGTTGCATTTTTCTCGAGAAGATGTAAGCATTGTACACATTATTATGGGAAGCAAATAGGAGAAATTTATGAAGAGGGAAAAAGAGTTGTGATATGTAATTGAATTTTTTCTAGTTGACAATGTGTTCTATTTTTCTTTTTAACCTAAAGACTGTAGTGAGGTGACAACATAAGTTTGACTTCAACCTGAATAAAGGCAGGCATCAACTGGCAGGCCTTCACCAAAATCAGCCATCCATCCCCGGACTCCATCATCCACCATTTCTTGCAAAATCTGTTTGAACCAACTTTCTGTCTGTGGATGGGTCAGATCCAGCATTCCAACATCAAAAGCTGTATTAGGAACCATATAAGGGTCTCCATTTTTCTCCTTCACTAAGATATCTAACTTCATCGCCTCCTCAAATAGGTTTCGTTTTGCATTAGGCTTTTTGTCCATCTGCATTGATGAGTTGGAGGACTGTCATCAGACATATTATACCTGATATTAATTATAATTGCTAATGATAGAGTTGCATACCAGAGCTAAACAAGGATTGCAATATGTCATCACTTTAATATCCTGTGCACCTAAATCTTTGATTAATTGTCGCCATCCTGAATACCTATTTGAATCCACTTCCCAGTTCCACCAAAGTTGTGATCCAATAACTGTCTTCCTCTGCCCTACCCAGTCCTGCATAATGGGCATAGCATGAAATTTTTTAACCATTATCCATTGATCATTTCCAATATTCATGATCATATTTCATCCCCCAACTTCAAGGTAAAAATAGAATGAAAAAATGACATATTGTAAATATATAGATTCTTGGTTCCTGTATATTAAAGACATCTGAATGAAATAATTCCCCTTCTATATTAACTCATAGGTAGTTCAACCTGCAACCAAAATGCTGATACTGGAGTTTCTTGAGCCTGCAGCTCCTTCCACACATGACGTACTGTTTCAGTACCACCTTGCAATCCCACCACCGCACCTGATATTATCCAATCAGGAAGTTTTTGAGGTCTCCCAATGGTTTCTGTGAAGTGTTCGATAAGCTCAGTAGGTGAGTTCCCATGTCCCACCACCGCACCTGATATTATCCAATCATGAAGTTTTTGTGGGCTCCCAATGTTTTCTGTGAATTGTTCGATATGCTCAGTAGGTGAGTTCCCATGTAGTATTCTACCTTCAACCAAATCTCCATGTATCTACAAGAATTTCCAATAGTTGCAGATAATGAGAGTGAAAATTTTGGTTCTTCTGTAAACCTTATCTAAATGAAAACTCAATATACAGGAATACTTCCTTTCTCTGGGGAAAGGTGTAGTTCCAGAGACTCGTGTTCTGTTTCATGTTTTCCTCATTTGTACAGACTTAGAAAATTAGATTAATGGAGTGCAGGAGTATCTTTATTCTTAGTCATACAAGGTTTTGATCTACACATACTCTTAATACCTCCAGGGATCATACCATATTAATAGACATATTAAGGTAGCCATCGTGGAGTTTTGTATTATGCTTATAATCCTAAACGCCAACTACTATTTATGATGACCGTACAATGTATTGACGAAGATACCTGTATCTGGATGCTGTCATCTTTTGTTAGATCAAATACTGAATAGTTGTATCCTTCAAGGTAAAGTGACCTCATTTTGGATGTCATATAAAAAGGTGAAGGAGCATAAGTTGTACTTTCATCACCCCCTGCCCTGCATTTAGACAAAAGCTCATGTTAAAATGGTGATTAATTTGATCTTAAACTATTAAAGATATTTTATATATAGTTTACCTGTAGCTAACCAAATTCGCTGCAAATGTGATAGGTTGATCGCCTCTCCCTATGCCTTGCTCTTGAACAAATATCGGCACCCTCTTCCCCTTGAAGTCCATATGTGAGAACTGCTCACCAAAACCATAGAATTTTTCGCTTTTTTCGCTAGAATATGTAATGCAGATCCTATTAAAATCAGGAACACGTTCATTTTTCATTACTACATTTTCCTCTTCTGCTGGTGAAACTGTTATAATTCCTCTCTTCCTTGAAAAATATCTACTAAATCCAACTCGAAGTCTCCGAATTCGACCAAATTTTGAAGCGAAGGCTCTGTAACTATAAGTTCTTGGAGAAAGTTTTTGCCGATATTCCATTTTTGGTTTTGCTAGTTTCACTTGGAATCCTATTTGATTGTTGTTTTTCTGATCAAACAGCATCCAGTACTTAGCATTAGTGGACGGCTGTTTTTCTATTGAATCAGAACTTTGTATACTGATTTTCCTTTTCTTCACACAGAAGATCTTCCCAGTAATCAGAAGAGCAGGTAACTGTATTCCTTTGTGTTGACTTTCTTGATCCATTACATTGCTAAAAGAGGTAAAATCTTGATTATTTGCATGTAAAACGATATCAGATGGATCGATGGTCCTGATATTATCAATAGTTTGATGATTGCATATCAAGCGGATATCTCTGTCTTTGATAACAAATGATCCTCTACTCTCTTCAATCTCTGTTTCAGCCACTGCTGCAGAAACAAAGGATCGTCCTGGAACGGTTGACCACATAGATCTTGAAGGCTGAGACTTATGGAATATACATAGAGACCCGCCATTTTTGGATGACCAATTCAACTGAAAATCCTTTCCAATGTCATAGATCTGTTCTGAAGGGACAGACTGAGAATCGAATAGAAGATTTCCATGAATACAAGGGAGAGTTTTCGGGTTTGAAGGAAAGGGGTTGTTGAGGTGTCTGTTGTGTTTCTTGGTTATTTTCAGGGACGCCATATGGGATTTTGAGAATTGAAATGAATATGCTGTCAGCTATATATACAGATTCAGGGGCGTAACATTTTTGTGTTTCATTTTCAAGATTCCATTAGTTTTTAGATGGAGGACAGGTTGCCCTTTCGGACATAATGTGGGAAACTGATGAAAATGTGAAATGGAAAGACGTGTATGAATTTACCATTCTATCCTGATTTATTGACATATATAGTAAATTAAAAGTGCTCTAGTTTTCCAATTTTGACCATTTAGAAAGAAAGATTCATGACTTTGAAATTTCGATTCTGGGTTTTGAACAAATTTTGAATTGGTCATGAAACTAGAAATCGAGAATAGAATGAAAGGGATTCACTTTATTGACTCCAAATTATAGTGTATAGTACTTAATTTGTTATTTGTTTATCTTTATACGAGTTTACGTGTAGAAGTTTTATGGTCTTTCAAATTGCAATTATCTGAAATCGAGAGAGAGATTAGAGTAATAATCTATAGTTGTAGTTGTGTAACAAATAAAAATAAAAAATAAAAATGCAATTTGAGTTAGCATGGCCCATTTTTCTTTGGTAGAATAGAATTAGGTGGGAGGGTACCTAGACGATTTTCTTGCAATATTCGAATGTATACTTCAAAAATACAAAAGCTGCTAAAACTGTGCATCAAGACGTGAATCGGGTTACATTCACTAAAATCCGTAGCATTGTATTTGTACATAGAACAAAAGCAAAACTCAAATTCCTTTACAAAATCACTGAATTGTATTTGTATTTCATTTGGAATTAAGTGTTTAGATAGTATAGCATTCAATTGAAAGATTTCCCAAAATGAAATTTAAAAACTTTAGCCCCGTTTGGGTTCCATTAAAATTAAATCTTTGGAAAAAAATGTGATTTTGGAATAGTGATTTTTTGGAGAATGTGCGATTTAAGAATAAAGAAAAATTTTGAGTTTACGTGCAATATTATTTCATTGAAAAATGTGTTGAAAATAAGAATGAGAAAAATGGAACCCAAATAGGGTTGTCATTTTTTTCTTTTTTGGAAAAATACCTTTTTGAGTAGTGAAAGATTTTTTTTTTTGAATTTACGTGTATAATATTTTATTGTGTAAATGTGATTGAAAATAAGTACGTTGAAAAAATAATTTTGAAATAATTGAAGACAAACAAGAGCTTAATGTTATTGAAAACATATTAGGACATGTTATACTGGACAAGATCCAAAAAAAGTGACTTATTCACTTGAATATGCAGTCCTGTTTGGTTTAGCTAAAAATTTGATAAGAATTTAAGTCAAAGTTAACAATTAATTAATTTAACAAATATTTCATGAAATTCACAAATTTTATCAATTTTTTAATTTTTTACATTTTATCAACTTTTATCGATATTTACTCAAACAGGACGATAAACATGTCATTAGTTTCTAACTTATGAAAGGGCCTTATAATTCTTGATTAAAAATAGAAACATTTTGCTTGAATCCATGTTTTATAAGTAATATACATTTTTAGTAAGAGGGACAAATCTTTGTCACCTTAGGCATGTAGGTTGGTCAACTAAATGACTTGTTTGAGCACGTGATTACTTCCATTGTGAAATTCATTATATTCCCAGGAACCAGGCAATATTCAGAAATGGAGCTTCTTGTTATGTACATAGTCGTATATACGGCCAGATTCGTATGATTACAAACCTCTTTAATTTGGGCAAATTTTCAGGCTATTTTTTTTTGTTCATCGATTAGAATAGTTCCGTATTGGACACTATTTAGTTTGTATGTATTGTCGTGTTGAGTTGTGAAAAGTTTCAATATATCTGGCACACAAATTGAGAAAACATCGTGCCTAAACGGGTCGTTAGGATATGTAACGTGATCCTCTTTACACAGCTAATCTTGAATTTTAATTTCAAAATAAATAGTTTCCATCGAATTACTTACGTAACATGTACAACCATAAGCATCCACCATTAAAGAGTTGCTGGCGAAGTCCATCAATTGCATCCACTTCATTTGAATGAAATCAAACTTGTATAACTTCATACTTGACAGTTTTCTAACAACGAAAAGTAAGCAAAATATTTGAGTGTAAGAGCATCTCCAATAGAGATGTAACATAGATTTAAATTATGATTTAAATCTTCAAAGTGGTCGAAAATCTTTCCAATGAAAAGATAAAGGAAATGCATTTTACATTAAGTGATTGTTTGGCATTCGTTACTGTATTTTATGGTTTGTTATAAGATCATTTTTAACCACACATTCATACAATAAAATATTCTACACGTCTATAAAAAACTTTTCCTTAGCCCCTGTCGTTATCCTTTAATCAATAAAGTTTTTTTACTTTTTAACACATTCTCCATCAAGGAAAATGCCATGTGTACACCTTGTGGTGTACACAAAGTTTTACACCCCTCCCACATGGAAGGTGGTACACAAATATTTTATTGTGTGCGAGCCCCCCTCCATTTAAGTGGGGTGTAAAATTCTGTGTACTCCATTGTGTACGCATAGCACAACCCTCTCCGTCAATCTACTGTTCTATAATATATCACAAGAAATTAATGGCTCTCAAACAGAGCTTTACTTTTTAACCACACATTCTCCTAAAAATCACCACTCAAAACCCTATTTTTCTATAATAATAATAATTGTCAAACGGGCTCTAAGAATTGTTATCTCCACGAATGAGATGAAGGGTTCAAGGATGGTACCTCCGTTCCTCCACTCTATTCAAAAACTTTATAGGCATGCCATAGAAAATGCAACTGCATGTTCACGCTGAGAAGGTATCACGAAAACTTCGCTTGAAGCCAAGGGGATGACATTGGGAAAAATTTCTATTACTCAGTATTTTAACTCAGTACTCTAGTAGGGAACGTTTGTAGTCATGTATTTAATTATTTTCATATATGTTATGCTTCTGGAAAAAAAAAATTGTAATTTAATTTTTGCTCTGGTACCGATTATGACACTACTTAAATAGTGTAAACCGTAAAACAAGAAAAGTAAATTCGATGACAGTTGGCACTGAACCATCGAAGATATTTGTTAAAGATGATTGGATAATATAAACCTGCAACCAATATAGAAAAAGTCAATGCTAGGCAATTGGCACAGAGCCACTAAGGATATTTGGTAAAGATGGATTATACTATGTCATACCAAACTATTGTCTAGTCCGGGTTAGATTATTTGGTCCATTTGCATATGAATAGGTCATGAACCGCTCAGACCGTTAAATAACCACTACGTTAGGAAATTTTACGTCAATTGCCTTTATTTCAATTTACCCGCAAAATCTTTTGTTATTCAAGAGAATATTAGCAAACAAAGAAAAGATAAAGAATATAACGCACAAAATTAAAAGGACCATCAAAACTTTTCACTGATGAAAAATTGTTACAATCATATAGAATTTCACTCAACAACCAAATTCCAAAGTATTACAGAGAAAAAAAATTCAATAGCCAAATATCCCTATTCCTCTCTGTCGTGCATGTCTATGAATATATATATTTAGAATAAAGCTATTTGTACAAA